AGCCCGAACCCAGAGTAATGTAGATTCGGACTAATTGTGGATAAGGGGTGGGATGCTGCTAAACTGTCAATGGATTGAGGGGAGACTGCTGAGTCTAACATTGTAAAAAATAATTGTGATTTTAATGATAAAAAAACGGTAAAAAGGCTACAGAGCAAAACTGTTAATTGGTTAACAGAAAGTTTCCGTACTACGATAAATAACTGTGATATCATGGTTCATTTAATGTAATTTTACTGTAAAAATTTTTTTTTTTTTTGAAAGTGAAAAAGACACTCATTGTGTAATTTACATTCCCACAATTCCCTGTGACACTGTATTTTTTATGTATTTTTGTTGAAGTAACATAGCTTTCTTGGGGGGTTTTTTCTAATCAGTTGTGTACATTAGGGTTTATGTTACGGTAAATTTATGTTTATTGCATTTTTCTTTTAATTAAATGTGTGTTACCATGGTGTTTAATGTTTGTGTGAGTGACACTGTGCAGCTTCTTTATGTGGAAGAGCTGCTTGTGATGAGTTTTGATTGATCATGTGACTCATCATCGCTGTGATGATTGTTGGTTGTCAGTGTGTTACAATGGTACAAAACCGATAATAATACTTCAAGAGACTAAATTAACATTATATCATATAATGAAATGTGGTTTGTTCGGTTACATGACGATCCCGGGCCGTCATACAACTGACGCTTTAACTTTAACGTCGGTTAGGTGTTTAGGGGTAGGTTTAGGTCTGGGGTAGCGGATCCGATAACGTCATCTAACCGACGTTTAAGGGCGGATGTTGACGTATGGTTAAAAGAGACGTCAGTTATATGACGTCTTGGGATGAGACTGTGTTATTTATTAGGCTACTGTAAATTTTAAGTTCAGTCTGTTAAACCAATAACGTTGCTACCGTATTTTTGATGGTAATGTTTTGGCAACCACAGCTGCCGTTTTTTTACTGTAAAAATCAGTATTTTTAAAGTGTTACCATTGATTGTTGAGTGCTCTCCAGTTGTGTTAATAATCTGAACGTGCTCCTCCCGAACTTTGTTAATAAAACATAATTTATTGAACTGCAAACTTAAAAAAGGACAAAAAACATACAAATATAAAAGTCGTCTGTTTGACTAAGTCTTTGAAGTCATGATGCTTTGTGTAAGAAACAGATCTTTCCCTCCAATAAAGCTCCAATAAAGTGTTGCGATTCAAAACTGCTGCAACAATACACCAAATTTGATTAAATGAATGCTTTGTAACCTAAATTGTTATCAAATAACAATATATTTGTTAACTAAAACTAAAATCACAAAAAAAAAAATCTTTAGGCTACTTGAAATTAAATATATATATATAAAAAATGTAACATATTATTTCAGCCAGTTTCAATTATACTAAAATAACACTGCAAATAACATACATTTTATTAGAAGACTTAGAAGTTACCATGAAATCAAAATGGACAATTCTTATTATTTAGTATGTATTATAAATGATTTATTGTGCACATCATGCTTTTTTTTATTCATGTGCCTTATAATCATCAATCAAAATAACTATGTAGTGAGATAATAAGATAACCCCTCCCTCTTGCGGCTCATCTCTTCTCTGATGATGTGTTTACATGAGAGCGGAGCAACCTGTCACTCACATAGGACCGACCAATAGCAAGCCACGACCTTCCAATCAAATCCCACCCTATTTGCTCATGTTCAGTGAGCCATTTCACTCGATATACGTCACAATAGGGAAGAAAAGAGTACCCCAACATGATGTTTTATTAACAAAGTTCAGCAGGAGCACGTTCGAAATGTCAACTCATTTATCATGAGTTGCATATATACAGCAGTCGTACTGTACCTCTGTTACACGACCGTTGTCCAGCATCCCAACTCCTCACTCCTGACTATTCCTATCCCAGCCTGGGACAGGTGGGAGAACTCTGAGATCTGAGCGCTAAATACACATAACCTTTACTCCATCTGAATATAAGTGTGGCTTTTGTTTCATGACGAATTAATTCAGTTTTTTTGCCCTTGACAAGTTATGGCAGGTTTGAAACCACAGAAGGATTTGTAAATAAAGTCAGTGCTTTCATTTATTTATTTTTTTGGTGAACTATTTGTTTAAATGTCAGTGTATCAACGGTAGGCCGTATTATCAGACGCAGTCAGACATCCGAATCATGCGTCTCTCAACAAGGACAGATTTGAGCGCATGTGTTTTGGCCTGTACGGGTCTGTGGGAATGCTTGCATTTGTCACAATGGAAGCAGACAAAGCTCGCCTGCTGTTGTTCTATTCATGCAGTTTATTCTTAGTCTCAATGTCACATATGAAACTGTAGAAGTGGCCAGGCACCTCCTCACCGCATTGTTTACTGTGGTATTTGAGCGGCAGGTGTGGCAGTAAATGCTTATAAATAACCGTGAACACAAAGCCGAGCGGTGCTCTCCCTCAACATCACCTGAGTCAGACACAACTGTGGATAGTCTTTGGGTAACGCAATCGGTAATCGTAATCAGATTACTTTTTTCAAGTGACTAAAGTATCGGATTACTTTTGAATTTACAACAAAAGATCTGAGTTACAGATGGGGGAAAAGTAATAAGTTACCTTTTTAAGGAGTAATGCAATATTGCAATGCATTACTTTTAAAAGAAGCTTTCCCGGCTCCAGTCATGCATATCGTTAAATGACAACGATAAAGTCAAAGTTTCATGAACTAAAGCGTCAAATATTGAAGCATGGTCAAAGGTGACGCCTTGGGGTGAGAATGCATTGATTATGCTATTTTTATACAATTAGCTTTCAATTTGTTTTCTTAGTTTTATTTAGTTTTTTATTTGTAATTTATGTTTTTGTCAGTTTTTAGTAGGTTTTTTTGTTTTAGTTTTAGTAATTTTAATCCTTCAACTTAAAGATATTGTATTTTAGTTAGATTTAAAGCAATAATATTTATATTGAATGTTATTCTTTTTAAATAAATCTGAAATAACATTCAATATTATTTATTACCAACTTATTATTACTTATAGGCAAGGCAAGTTTATTTATATAGCACATTTCATACACAATGGTAATTCAAAGTGCTTTACATAGAAGAAATTAAAATTATCAAAAGAAATCATAATAGTTAAAGCAGCTTAAAATACTTAAAATAACAACACTGGTGACACACATATTGAAACACCAATTTTATGTCGCTTAACAGTCTGTATAGTTACACTTTTGGTAACTCTTTATTTTACTGTCCATGTTATGTTACATGTAATGACAGTAAATTATGCATAATTACATGCAACCAACCCTAACCCTAGTTAGATTGTTAAGGCTTCTTAAATGTATAGTTACTATAACAATGACACCTTAAAGTAAAGTATCCAAACTTTTGAATTAATAAACTTATTTAAATAATTAGAGTTCATGCGGTGTTTAACCATATTGTTTTTAATAACTAATCATATAATCAACTCAATGGGCTATAGTCAGTCCCTCCAGAAAAACGTGATTATGCGATCGCTGAATTCAATGCAAAATCAGCCAAAGTCCGCATATTTATGCGGGGGCCGCATTTTTTCAAATACGCCGCACTTTCGCCGCATAAATTGCCGATTTCCGTGCAAAATATGCGGGATTTGCATAATTTCATAATCCTCGCATTTTCGTTGCAAAAAAAAGTCACATGTATCTTAGCAGAAAGTTGAAAAATGTTGCGTTTGCTTCACATAAGAGCAGCCATTTCCCCCTGTTTCCATGGGAACGTTATGAAGTGACGCAATTACGCGACACCAGACGGAGGCGATTGACATCTCACAAATCTAACTCGTATAACTGTCTGTCACACGTTCTACCGTCACATCGTTACTTAATAAACAACATAAGATAAAAGTAGTAGCATCAAACAGAAATTACCCGCACACATGGGGTGTTCGAGGCGCACATATAACACTGCAGAGAGTTCAACAGGGAGCGCGCAGCTCTTAAAGGGGCCACACCTTATTTACACTCTTACAGTGTGAAATAAAACAAGATGAGAAATTAAATATTCCCAGCACTTTATATGATGTAGTATGCTTGTTTATCAAAGGAAGTAATAAGAAATGACTCTTATATTAACAGGATGTTGGGGGAATCACTTTTTTCTCTTTTTCATCAAACCGCAATTTTTGCAAGTTCCCTCAATTTTTGCAAATTCCAGCAATTTCATCGCATAAAATTGCATAAATATCCCACATATTCCATCGCATTTTTAAAGAAAACTGGCCGCATAATCGATCAATTTTTGCCCGCAACAATCACAAAAAAAAACTCCGCGTTTTTCTGGAAGGACTGAATACTATTATGGTAAATGTTAAATATAAATCGCAAATTTTTTCACAAATTTTTGGAAATTACCACCACAAAATCAGTCAATTTGATCGCAAAAATCACAAAAAAAAATCGTGAAATCCTGGAGGGACTATATAGTGATTTTTAACACGGTTAAGGCATTCCACATCATGTTTTACAATGAGCCAGATGTTGCTCTTTCATTTATTTGGAGATGTTTCATTCAAGCATCCACTTTGTCTTAGAAGTCAAATAGAAATAGCAGGCTTGTATCTTGAGCACAGTTTGAGACATTATTGAGATCTATGGATTTGTGGTGACCACATTATTTGTGGTCATTTCTAAATCAAGAGATGATGCGATTTTAGACAATGCGAGTGTCATCTGACCTCTTCTGGATTGTTCTTTACAGGGTTTAATGAAGACCTGAGCATTTTATATCACTAAGATCTTGATGCGACCCCACAGATCTCTTTTCCCACAGCTCCTCTATCCCACATTGCATTGTCCCATTGTGTCATTCCAGGTCTTCTGTCTCTTGCTCTCACTGTAAGTCTATCTGGATGCTTTGAATTGATCAGTGGTCTTGCCGTGGGTCTATATTTACCACCTTGAGGAGGAGGAGTGAGTGTGTGTGTGCTGCTGGAGGTCATCCTCACCCGCAGAGACCGTGAGACTGAGAGGAGAAGCTGAGAGCATTACAGAAGGTGAGACAGCAGTAAACGATAAGGAGAGTTTAACAGAGCGCCGGTGGAAGAGGGTGAGACAGGTGAAGGTCGAGGAGGAGGAGAGACGGAGACACGTCGTCCTGCTGATCATCTGAAGGGCCTGTAGAACGTGAGTGGATTTACAATGAGAAAAATCTGTTTGCAATTTTCTTGTGCTTCTAAAAAGACTCTGCTCCAGTGTGTGTGTGAAGATGCTTATTAGCTTTTAAATCGGTGGCTCTCGATTGGCGTCTGCTCTGAAAAACACAGCCAAATACTAAGGGTCTAAACTTGTTTGCTGCAGATACGTTGCTTTAAATAAAAGAGTCTGAAACACTTCATGTTTGACTTTGAGATCATTTTTCTTTTGCTTTTCTACAATGATATTATGTCGGGTTACTAATCGATGACCAATGTAAAACCTGGATCCTGAAGCAAAACTAAAACTGCTGATTTTAAAAAATAACCCCCTGTTCAATGTCTTGCTGACATGCCATTTTACTTAAATGTCTTGGTTTTCAATCATATTTTGTCAATAACACACTTGTTAGTGAATTTTGATCATCCAAGCATCAGTATTTCTATTGCTCATAAAGTTGAAGTAGTAAAATAACTATAAAACTGAAATGTTTTAAAAACTACATAGACATACTTTAGAAAAAAAAGACAAAAACACTTAAAAATACTAAAACTAAAATTAAAATAAGAAATGAAATATATTAAAAATATTATATTAATAACACAGAGGCCATTATTCATTTTGCATTGCGACGTTATTTTCATGTAGCTAAGTTAAAGGATTAGTTCACTTTAAAAAAAACATTTGCTGATAATTTACTCACCCCCATGTCATCAAGATGTCCACGTCTTTCTTTCTTCAGTCGAAAAGAAATTAAAGTTTTTGAGGAAACATTCCGGGATTTTTCTCCATATAATGGACTTCAATGGGGTCCAAACGGTTCAAGGTCTAAATGAGAGTTTCAGTGCAGCTTCAAAGGGCTTTAAACGACACCAGACAATGAATAAGGGTCTTATCTGGGACCCTTCGAGTCATGACTCGAAAAAAGATTTGTTCATTTTGATGAACGAGTTCGAGCAGGAGAGTCACGAACGCACATCACAGAACAGAGCTTAGAAAACTGAAACTTTTTATTTATTTATGAAATGACCGATCGTTTCGCTAGATAAGACCCTTATTCATCGTCTGGTGTCGTTTAAAGCCCTTTGAAGCTGCACTGAAACTCTCATTTGGGCCTTGAACTGTTTGGTTCCCAATGAAGTCCATTATATGGAGAAAAATCCTGGAATGTTTACATCAAAAACCTTAATTTCTTTTTCACTGAATAAAGAAAGACGTGGACATCTTGGATGACATGGGGGTGAGTAAATTATAAGCAAAAGTTTTTTTAAAAGTGAACTACTCCTTTAAACTCATTTTACTCCCAAATTTGTGTTAATGTGATGCAAAAAATATATATATATATATATATATGAAATAATGTTCAACAATTATTCTAACAAACTATTCGCACCACTCACATTTTGTTCATAAATTGTAGAAATCTAACTACCATTCAGTGGAGCTTCTTTGCCTTCCCGTTTCTCAAAACAGCGGCCATTGTGAACTGAGCGCCTGAATTTCTCATAAACCCGATCATCCATCGCCTGTTTCAAAGTCTGTTTCCATTGGGCTATATGTGATCTCCCTCTGGAGGGGCGACGGGTTGGTGTTCGGCTGATGACAGATAAGTTTTAACATGCTGCAAAGTGACCCTTTTGTACTCGGTCTTCAAACAAAGTCCTGACACAGGGATTATAGGATCTAGTTTGAGAGGAAACGTCTGGGACAGGAGACACTGTCATTCGGAAGGCCTTTGCCTCAGATTTAATCTGGTTAAACCTGGGGGGAAACGCATTTCTCCGTCTATGATGGTAACGCAGGTGGTTGTTGCAACTTTCGTGTAAATGAAGCCATCCTTCAAACGCGACCTGATTCTGTTAGGTTCGCCTCGGCGAGGGGCGCATGTGCCATCGGGACTGATTTATGACTGCGGGACTCTCGTGGGCTGCATTGAGCCTAGCAACTAATGAATTATTATCCTCACAATAGCTCACAAAGGGACTTTTACCAGGATTCTGACACAATGGATGTCCCTCTTCTCCTTTTAGCTCTCAGCTCATGGTGGTGATTGGGTGAAAACAGGTCACAATTCACCCAGGAAATTCTGTTGCATTTCAAAGATTGTTACATCACATTCATTTTGGTTTGACTTTATAGATATTTTTAATATTATCTCATGCAAGTGATCTGAGGGCAGAAGAAAAAAAATGTCTGGGCACCAGAAATAATAATTGAAGCAACACTTTGAAGTAACTTAAATATTCTGTGGATTTAATTACTAAATAATAATTAGTTGAGAAAAGCTTAAATTTTATAGTTGCGAATGTCTTGTGGACCATTGAAATAAAGTGTTACCTTTGTTTTTATTAATGAATAAATGATTATACATATAGGCTATATATTATTACATATAAAACAATTTATACATATTTTCAAACACATTAATAACATAAATTAATTTATATATAGCCTAAAAGAATTAAAAAATGCCAAAAAAAATAATATCCATTTTATTTTAAAAAATTTTTTGGTTTAAGTCATTTTAGTGTTTCAGATTCAACTAAACATGAGAAATGTTGCCTTGACTTGGTAATTGTTTATTTTATTTTAAGTAATGGTAATGTTTTTTTATGGTTTTAGTTGTTAACATTAATAACCCTGAATGGCCTAAAAAAAGGTTGACTTCTATGCAAAATATTTTTAAATAAACTGGACATGAGATTCACTCTTTTATTGTGTTGGCAGGCCCACACTCTCAGAAAAAAAGGTACAAAAGCTGTCACTGGGGCTGTACCTTTTCAAAAGGTACACTTTTGTACCCAAAGGCTGCATATTGGTACCTTAGTGGTACATTTAAGCACCCAAAATGTATATATTAACACCTAAAATGTACACATATTAGCACCTAAAATGTACTTAGCTCCTGAAATGTACATATTAACACTTAAAATGTACATATTAGCACTTAAAATATACATATTAGCACCTAAAATGTATATATTAGGACCTAAAATGAACATATTAGGACCTAACATTGACATAATTGCGCCTAAAATGTACATATTGGGACATAAAATGTACATATTAACAACTAAAATTTACTTTTTAGCACCTAAAATGTACATATTAGAACCTAAAATGGACAAAAGTTTACCTTTTGAAAAGGTACAGCCCCAGTGACAGCTTTTGTACCTTTTTTTCTGAGAGTGCACATGTAGATTGAACAGTGAGACTGTAATGTTTTGCATAAGTCTGGTGTTCTGCAGAAGTATGATTTTACTGTTTCTGGTTTTCTGGGGTGGGGTGTAAATGGGCCGTGACTTCCCGTGTCCCGTCACTGGGCCGTGGATGTGACAGATCGCTATCTGTCGGTGTGCAACGGACTGGTGTGATTCTCTTTCTCTATAAGTGCTCCTGTCCTTTTGACAGCTGTGTCGTTCTGCTCTGATGCAGGTGCTGCTGAGAGCTTCGCCATGGCAACCAAAATAGTAACACAGCGTTGCCAGGAAGAGCAGATGGACCAGATGTCTCACAGCATGGAGATGTCCTCCCAGATCAAGAAGAGAAAGTTCAAATCCAGGTAGAGCCACACTGACCCTCGAAACATGCCACGAGCATTCCCCCGCGTCACGCCACTGGATGCCGTGAACATTCACACATCCCAACTTTAGGAAACAAGTGTAAATCACCAGCTGAATTAGCAGAATTAATTAGCGAATCTCATTGACAGTTTGCTGTCCTTTCAGAGAGCAGCTGTGCAAACATATGAGGTCTTATCGGCTCCAGTTCATCTCCTTGAAAGGAAGGAGCATAACACGAATGTTTTTACATGCACTCAAGAAAATATTTAGACCTAAATTTATGGAATTGCATATAACATTCCCATCCATTTACGTTACAGTTTTAACATTTTAACTAACAACTTAATGGGATGCATATTTGAATGAAACAGGTAAGTTTATGCCGATTGGAGAATCAAATACACTGTAAAAAAAATATTGTTGGTTTAACTTAAAAAAGTAAGTAACCTGGTTGCCTTCAAATTTTAAGTTCATTGAACTGGAAAAAGTGAGTTAATATAATGAAGGAGATTAATTTAACCATCAGAAACTCAAAATTATATGTTATCTGAACTAAATAAATTATTTAAGTTGATTTGACAAAAGAAAATATGTTGTGATAACAAATCTTGAAAATATTTTTTACAGTAACGATGACACCTTAAAATAAAGTGTAACCCCTTTATTTGAAGGTGATATAGCTGAGGATTTCAAAAGACATTATAAACCTCATGTTGTTGTTTTTTACGTTACACTTTATTTGAAGGTGACGTAGTTACATAACTATTAATAAAATAGATGTACTTACTATAGAGTTACGGTTACGGTTTGGAGGATTATGGTTATTACTTGTAATTATGCAAAATTTACTGTTATTATATGTAGTAATGTGTAACTACGTCACCTTAAAATGAAGTGTTGACTAAAGCTAGTTTTTTAACGATGTTGCCTTGAGAACTAATTGAAATAAAATGACGTTGAAATCAAATTAACAAAAATAATTGAAGCTAAATAAAAAACTACTAAATATGAGAAAAGCATACTGAATATAACATACTGAACATACGCATAAACATACTGAAACTTAAACCCATAAAAACAAATATTTTATATACATATACACACAACTTTCACTTTCAACTGTAAATTTTTGAATTACATTTTTAACCCAACATTTGGGTTTGTCCACATTTGACCCAAATTTGGGTTGAAACAACCCAGCATCACTGTAAAAAAATATTTTCATGATTTGTAATCACAACATTTTTTTTCTTTTGTCAAATCAACTTAAATTATTTATGTAGTTCAGATAACATAATATTTTAAGTTTCTGGTGATTAAATCAATCTCCTTCTTTGTATTAACTAAATTTTTCCATTTCAATGAACTTAAAATTTTAAGGCAACCAGGTTTCTTAATTTTTTTAAGTTAAACCAACATTTTTTTCCAGTATATATATATATATATATATATATATATATAAACAATCCCATAACATTAAATAGTCATTATGATTTATTTCAAGTTTTCAGAAGACCTGATGCGAGGAACAGACCCAAACTTTATAGTCATGTATCATGTTAGTTTTGATGTAAAAGGCCCTGATATACGCAAGCTGAAACGAAGAACGACTGGTGTGACGTCATATCAATCAAAATCAACCAAAATCAACCAAAACCTGTTCGTTCTGGAGTTTGACACAGCTTGCAAATGCGAACTTTCTGGAAACCTTCATTTTATGGCACTTTTAAGGCCTATGCAAATAATAGTTAATAACAAATGCCATTATGTTTTTGGGTGCAGACAAATATGCCTTGCATTGAAGTTTATTAGTATAAAATAATTAATCTAAATTGATGGAAAGTATTTAAAATTCAAATACATAAATCTAAAATTTTGGTTTAAATATTTTTTGAGTGTAGCTTATGTTGGCAAGCTTTAAATTTGACGAACAATTTACCCTAAAAGTAGTATATGTGAATAAAATCCTAAATTCAATCTGTTCGGGTCGAGAGATCGATTCTCCTCAGAAAACATGGACTAAACCGCTCGATTCGGATTACTTTTACAATCTATTCTCTTTATGAGCTTTTTGACGCGTCAGTAGTAGTTGCGTACTGTAGCTGTCAGTGGAGGGATCACAAAATCTTCATTTGTGTTCCGATGACGAACAAAAGCAACATAAGGACAGCATGAGGGTGAATAAACAATGACATAAGTTTCATTTTTTGGATGAACTAACCCTTTAATTAATAACAACGATTCATTACTGTGCCTTGTTTGGGATCATGTGTGTGATGGTCTGTGGAGATTACATGACAATTACTGATGGGGAAGGCAACTGTGTTTCACCCTGACATGTGCCGGAGTTATTCTGAGCTCACCGAGGCATCGCGGCCATGGCAAACTCCCAGGTGCACACTAGTGTTGTTGACGGACACATTTATAACAATAGACGCACACACACAAGTTCTTTCCCAAAACCTCCTGGGGTTAAACCCCGTTAAGGACATGTACCTCTGCATCAGTTGCATTTATTTGTACCTTGTACTATAATTTATTGTGTTTAAAAAATGCATGTTTATGAACCTAATTTTCTTCATGCAATTTTTCTTTTTTATTATTATTTTTAGGGTCAAATATGACCTATCTATTATGTTTTTGGGTGCAGACAAATATGCCTTGCATTAAAGTTCATTAGTATAAAACTGATCTAAATGGATGGAAATTGTATATACAATTCAAAGACATAAACCTAAAATTTAGGTTTAAATATTTTTTGAGTGTAGCTTATGCTGTCAAGCAATAAATTTGACAAACGATTTACCCTAAAAATAGCATACACTGTCACAGTAGTTATGTTAAGGACATACCTATGCATTATGGTTGCATTTGTTTGTACCTTGATACTATAATTTATTGTGTTGAAAAAATGCATGTTAATGAACCTAATTTTCTTCATGCAATTTTTTTTTTATTATTATTATTTTTAGGGTCAAATTTAGGAGATTCCCACTTTATGTTCACTCCTTATTTTGACCGAATTCATATTTATGCATTTAAGTGACTTACAGCCAAATTCAAAGGTTTCTTTCTTTTGTGGAGAATACAATGGCAAAATGCATTACAAGTTTGCAATAGACAGTGAAATAATATTTTTTAAAGTATCTTAGCAACATGATACCACATAACTATTAAAATCAAGTACACATTTGAATGCATCACGAAGGCCGTTAACTGACAAAAAGCTTTGTTTATACTTCACACAATAGTGTAATAATGTTTCCCATAGTTTGCTTCAGTTACTTTAACTTCTCCTCTGGCTTATTTGACAGTCAAAGCTTATCAACAGTGTTTGTGGTATGCAATATCCATTTTGCCCATTCAGGCTTAGCAATATTACACAATTACTTTAAATAACTTCCTTCTTTTCTTTTGTTGGCCTGTCAGAGGGCATTTTAGATCCTCAAACATACAGATGAACTTCTGCTTTTGTCATTGTATCAATCACACGTGTTCCTCTGAGAGCGGGAGGGCCGTTTAATGATGCAGAGTCTGAATCTGAGAGTCGCTGTTTAAATAGACACTGATCCACTTTCCATGGTGTCCCACTGGATTGACTGACTGACTATTTCTGCCTTGAATCCTATTGGAATTATCATTTGACGAGATGAGCTCACGTGAGCGTGTTGTAAATACCAGTGAGGAACTCTTTGAGCTCCAGCTGTCCGCATGGAAGCGTGTTAATTAAAGAATCATGCAAAAGACCAATATGTTGTTGTAATTTATGTATATTGACTTTGTACTCATACTCTTGATGAAGTGTAGCAATCAAATTTGAGAGAAAATAATACGAGTCTGTCATTTATCAAGAGAAAGATGAAATAAGACAACATTTGCTAAACGGGTTTGCTTTGTTTTGATTGCATACATATCTCATAACGATATTGCCACACATCTCTTTCGAGCATGTTCTGGTTAGATCAGCAAAATATGATTTGTTAGAAAATAACAAATATATTGGCCACTCAAAATATTAGAAAGAAAATAGGAAAATTAATTAATTATTTTTTTGTGAAAACATTATTCACTCTTAGAAGAAATGGTTCTATTTAGAACCAGAAATGGTTCCATCCCCGCTTCATATATGGAACTCCAATATGGTTCTATATAGAACCTTTTTTTTTGTAAAAGGTTCTATTGGCCAAGTATGGAACCCCAGGGTTATATATAGAACCCAGAGGAACCCTTTTTAAGAGTGTATCACTCTTAGAAGAAAAGGTTCTATATAGAACCTTAAAAGGTTCTATCAGCGCTACATATTTGGAACCCCTAAAAGGTTCTATACACTCTTAAAAAAGGGTTCCTCTGGGTTCTATATACCATACTTGGCCAATAGAACCTTTTACCAAACGGTTAGAACCATTTTGGAGTTCCATATATGAAGCGGGGGATGGAACCATTTCTGGTTCTAAATAGAACCATTTCTTCTAAGAGTGTAGAACATTTTAGGGGTTCCAAATACGTAACGCTGATAGAACCTTTTAAGGTTCTATATAGAACCTTTTCTTCTAAGAGTGTTGCATTACTTGTTGGTACAGTAGGTTTTAATTTTATTGATTTATTTTAATCATTTACCTTTTTAGATTTTTTTATGCTTTTGAAAGGAGTCTCTTATGCTCAACAAGGCTGCCTTTATAAAAAAATACAGCATTGTCAAATATTATTACAATTCAAAATAAGTGTTTTTAATAATAAATTATATTGTTAACCCAAAAAATTTGAATATGCCAGAGATTTTTTGAATGTTTATTGTGCTCACCAAGGGTGCATTTCTTTAATGAAAAATACTGTAAAAACACAAAAAATGTGAAATATTATTACAATTTAAAATAATCATTTTCTATTTAAACATATTTTAAGATGTAATTTATTCCTGAGATGCAGAGCTGAATTTTCAGCATCATTCCTGTATTCAGTGTCACATGACCCTTCAGAAATCATTCTGACATGCTGATTTGCCGCTCAAGAAACATTTATTATTATTATTGTCACTTTTGATCAATTTAATTGCTTCTTTGCTGAATAAACATTTTTTTAAAATCACTGACCCCAAACTTATTAACAGTAGTGTAAACTTTTATATTACTATAACTGAGCAAATGTACAAGGACAGACGCATGTATAAGATGTGATACTGATTCATTAAAGTCTAATTGTAAAGGACATGGCTTACACAAAACACCTGCTCACTCCTGGCGAAGTGAAAATCACCTTTAACCCGATCTGAAGCAGCACATAAGCCGACGCATGTGTTAATCAGAAGGTTATTCAACCTTCGCTTCAATAGATTTCATTTTTGTCTCATAATCAGAGTCGGTCTGTCTCTATCATCTGAGAAAGGAACACTGAATCTAGGCCGTTACGCAGAGGATAAAGCCTCCTGTGATCCACTAAACCCTTGCAGACGCTGCAAGACAGGCGTAGATGAAACGGCTGGCATTCACACCTGGATATAGAAATTGAAAATAGAGTGATATTAATGACATAATGGTGTTGAAAAACAGGGCTTGAATTTGGCAGAGTTCCTGTCTACTTTATTTAGCGTAGTATTTTTCCATTCATTTTTTCCCATAGTCTTCCTTAATGCATAATAAGCAATGAACCAAACCAACCCACTATGAGTCACAACATTACAAACTAACATGTGTTCAAAAATCAGACAAAAATACAAGTGAACTTATCAGCTTTAATGAGAGGAAGAACAACACAATATACCCTGACACATTGCAAATAGAATTGAAAGCAATGGAGAAATATCAAACTTCATTTAAAGTTGTTGATTATTTCTTCAGAAGCATAGTTTAGGATTATTGTACACTGTAAAAAAAAATATTTTCAAGATTTGTTATCAAAACAAATCAACTTTATAATAATTTATTTAGTTGAAATAACTTATTATTTTGAGTTTCTGATGATTAAATTAATCTCCTTCATTGTATTAACTCACTTTTTCCAGTTCAATCAACTTAAAATTTTAAGGCAACCCAGGTTACTTACTTTTTTAAGTTAAAACAACAATATTTTTTTACAGTGTAGTAATCACAACATTTTTCTTTTGTCAAATCAACTTAAATAATTTATTTAGTTCAGATAACATATAATTTTGAGTTTCTGATGGTTAAATTAATCTCCTTCATTGTATTAACTCACTTTTTCCAGTTCAATGAACTTAAAATTTTAAGGTAACCAGGTTACTTATTTTTTTAAGTTAAACCAACAATAGTTTTTTACAGTGTATGGTCCACATGGAGATCTGATCTCTCCATCATGAGTCCATCTGGGATTGCATAAAGAAACTGATACAGAACAACATCTCCAAAACGCTTGAAGAAATCGACCTGAAATTAATTTTCATTTATTTCAGCCTGAGACTTTTCACTTTTTCACATTTGCCAAAAAATAACTTTTATTTGGTGGTGACCATAGACCTCCATTATATGACTGACAGACAAGAACGGTTTGACCTAAAAATATCAAAATTGAAACCACGGAAACAAAGACACCTACATCTTGGGTGCCCTTGAGGTGAACTAAAACATATCAAAAAATAATTTCAAAGTGAACTATCCCTTTAATGCATTACTTTTAAAAGTAACTTTTCCCAACACTCCGCTAAATAGATGAAACGTCTTTGTAAGGTAGTAAATGTTGTTAGTAACAGATGCAGAGCTTTCCATGCGAGTGACAGAATGACAGAAGCACATCAGTGCAAACGAAACTCTCTCACTCCATCTGTCTCGTTTCTCCACCTCATGGTCTCGGGGATGCAGCTTAAACACATCATGGGGGATAGCCCGATTATAAGAGTATGCCTTCAATTTTTGCATGCAAATATATTGTGAAAATTCAATATTTCACCCACCCATGATGCAATTGTTTGTTTGTTTTTATCTTTGCATTATGTTTGAACAGTGATGAAAAAGCGTCCTTCAGTGAATTCTATCCCATCATTCCTGGAGACGTCATGTCCGTCAAGGAGATCCTGACCGAGCCCAAGTTCCCGCGACACAGGACATGGTACAGAGCTGAAACACACACACACACACACATTGGGTTTTCAGGTTTAATGGGGACATTCATAGGCGTAATTATTTTTATACTGTAAATTTTTTAGTAAAAAAAAAAACTATTTAGTGGGATAAACTGTTTTCTTAAATTTTTCCCCCATAACGTAGGGTATACAGAACCAAACACACACACACTGCATGGCTTTGGCAGCAAGTGAGGTCACCTTTCAGTAACATGCTGACATGATGGCATTATCATTGTGGAGCTTTGCTTTTTTAAAGCTTTGTGAGGGCCACAGCTGTCCCGCTGAAAATGTGAAAGGTTTAAAAATAATATGATGGAGTCACAGGCGCTGGCAGGACACGGCAGGTCAAGACATGATTTACATGTCAACAGCGTTTTATCTGCGGTGCCGTGGTCTTTCCTCAAGGCAGATTCTCTCAAACTTTCAGAAGTATAAAAAATAAACACTGAAACATAAACAGTTTTGGGTTTCGTTCAATGAAAAATAGGACATATGCAAATACATCGGGCAAGAAACATCATGCAGGAAAAGAGCAGCAGTAGCACACACACACACTTATGGAAGAGGAGAAACGTTTCACAAGTTAGGAAAACACAACCGGCTCCTAAAACTAAAATGCCTACGGCTGGGTTTTATATTTCAAAAATGTCCAAAAAGAAAGAAGCTGATGTACTGGAATACATGAGGACATCTCAAAAACCTGTTTAGGTCAAAATATTAAGACAGAATTTTAAGTACATTTTAAACCTTAACTTCGTTTCAGCAATGCACAAAAAAACATGTTGATTTAAATTAAATCAAAAGCAAAATGTCTAAAATCTATCTATCTATCTATCTATCTATCTATCTATCTATCTATCTATCTATCTATCTATCTATCTATCTATCTATCTATCTATCTATCCATCCATCCATCCATTTATCTATCTATTGTATCTGTCTGTCTATCTATCTATCTACCTATCTGTCCGTCCGTCCGTCCGTCCATCCATCCATCCATCTATCCATCTATCCATCTATCCGTCTGTCTGTCTGTCTGTCTGTCTGTCTGTCTGTCTATCTATCTATCTATCTATCTATCTATTGTATCTGTCTGACTGTCTGTCCATCTATCCATCCATCCATCCATTCATCCATCCCTCCATCCATCCCTCCATCTATCTATCTATTGTATCTGTCTGACTGTCTGTCTATCCGTCCATCTATCCATCCATCCATCCATCCATCCATCTATCTATCTATATATCTATCTATCTATCTATCTATCTATCTATCTATCTATCTATCTATCTATCTATCTATCTATCTATCTATCTATCTATCTATCTATCTATCTATCTATCCATCTATCCATCTATCTATCCATCTATCCATCTATCCATCTATCTATCTGTCTGTCTGTCTGTCCATCTATCCATCCATCCATCCATCCATCCATCCATTCATCCATCCCTCCATCCATCCCTCCATCTATCTATCTATTGTATCTGTCTGTCTGACTGTCTGTCTATCTATCCGTCCATCCATCTATCCATCCATCCATCTACCTATCTATCTATCTATCTATCTATCTATCTATCTATCTATCTATCTATCTATCTATCTATCTATCTATCTAGCCATCCATCCATCCATCCATCCATCCATCCATCCATCCATCCATCCATCCATCCATCTATCTATCTATCTATCTATCTATCTATCTATCTATCTATCTATCTAGCCATCCATCCATTCATCCATCCATCTATCTATTGTATCTGTCTATCTACCTATCTACCTATCTATCTATCTGTCCGTCCGTCCGTCCGTCCGTCCGTCCATCTATCTATCTATTGTATCTGTCTGTCTGACTGTCTATCTATCTATCTATCTGTCCGTCCGTCCGTCCGTCCATCCATGACAGGTTTTGTGAGATTCATTTGTGTTACATTAAACGAACTAAAGCATCTCTCTCATTTTTTCTTCAACCCTTCTGTTTTTCTCGTCCTCACTGCACAGTCGCTCTCCCCCTGCTTAGCATGATGGGAAAGGCACATCCCCTATATTCACCTCTCACACTTAACAGGTTTACCTGCAATTCACAGCACGCCGGCAGCCGCTTTAGTTTTCAGGCTGGTAATCCTGTTCAGACGGAGACATTAACACGGTCATGCCTCTTCCGCCGGAGGGTTACGGCTCGAGGAAGAGCCTGAGAAAAAAGGTTTGAGTTATGGGATAAAAAGGTTGCTTCAGTAAATCAGGCTTCAAATGCAGGATGGATGGTTCGAGGATGAGTGATAAAGCCCGTCAGGACTGGACGTGGCCTCTCGCGTAAGGTTCGAATGAAGGTCAGGCTTGAGAGTTACTGCAGTTTTGTGTTTTAAGTGAAGGTGAGGGGAGAGAAGAGCAAGATCCAGATCAAGTGGATAGATGTGTTCATCTCATAATCTGCATTTGTTGCTCATATGAAGTAGTGTCAAACTCTGTCTGCCTATGGCTTTTTCTCTCTGCTGTATCTCATATTCACACACACACACACGGCAGCTTGTCAGTCCTCGCCTGAGTGTTTAATCCTGTTCCCGCTGTTTGGCAGCATGACACCAGACAGGTTCAGCCTCTGTTTTTATTATTTACAGCCAATATTGCAATGTTTTCTGATATGTAAACGCTCTCTGGATGAGACTGAAAGTCAGTTCAGACGGATGCTCTCGGCACTGAGATGAAGGAAGACCATGGATCTAATCAAAGTGAATCCTTTATCACCTTGTTAGAAGGATGAAAGTCACAATCTTCTCGTCAGGTCACGGCTCTGGGACCAGTGCGTCTGAAAACAAGTCTGGAAAAGCGGCTATAGTCTGACTTAAATGAACAGATGGTATCAATATGGTGATTGAACTATAGTACTGAAGCTTGGAAATCTTGTCTATAAATAAACTATATATATATATGTACAGAGGGGTTCATATATACGTACATACGTGAGTAGTAAGTCATATATACCTCAGTTCATGTTTTTAACGTTATAGGTAAGCCACGTTAATGGTAGTGGAAAAAAGAAATGTAAAATATATTTGTTGTTATCGCACTAAATTTCAGTTTATTGAGATATTTTGTTTTGTAAACTGTTAAAGACCTAAAGTTAAATGCAGAGTAATGCAGAGATAGACCATTTAAACTTTCATTTTATTTCAGCTTTATTTCTCATTTTTATTTAGTTTAACTTTTTGTTTAATAAAATAACTAAAAATGAAACTGAAATAATTTTTTTTAAATATATAGAGGGAATGCATTGACGTCACTTTCCCGCCGGAATAGCTTGTTTTCACGTGACGTCACGCCACTGCGTTGCCATGGCGCGAAATGCAGATGGAGGGCAGGAAGTGATTTTCTATATTTAGGAAGCACTATAACACACTCAAAATGCTTATGTTTTGCGTCGTTTATGGTTGCTCAAATCGATCAAACCACAAGAAGTTTTTATCGTGTGCCAAAAGTTGTTGTTCATAAGGGTGGAAAATACAAGAAATTGACAGAAAAACACCGGGAAAAATGTCGTGCAAACCTACGTCTACAGTCGGGAAGAGCCGAATGCTTCTATTTTGCTTTTTTTTTTCATAATTTAACTTTTTCTTAAATCAAAATAACATGCTTTAATGCAAAACCTGATGATCATTTTCTCCTGGATCCAAAAGCATCTTGAGCTTTAATGGAAGCAGGAACATGATCATCTGCACAAACAGTCACATGATCAATGACACTCTTTCACTTTCTTTAGATTAGCCGCAAAATAATGCACTGAATAGTTGTGTAGAAAATCCCCAAACTTTCAGGTTATTTCCAAGTTTAATTGGGATTACATAATGATCTGCTGAATAGAAGAGATCACAAATGAGGGAACGTTGTCTAGGACTCTCCATCTAAATCTGCATTAATCCTTTTCACATTCATGTGTAAATAAGTTGGACCATTATGGCATTTTTCACATCAGAAACGTCCCTCTTTCTTTCAGGCTTAGTCTTTTAGACTCTCTCGACATAAGTGCATTCATTTGAGTCAGTCATCAGCCTGGCGGCATAAACCCATTCAAAGCGAAACTGCAAAGTGTCAAAGCGAGGAATGGCAACTTCTAATTGCACTGAGACATTTTAAATCACCTGATATCGACCCTGAGGATAACTGGCACTTTTATTTGTCTCGTCTGCCATCTGCACTCATAGCATGATGCTCGTCCAGTGTTTCTGCTGAACTCCTCTAAAGCGCTGACATGACAGCCAGTTAAATGTCATGAGCATCGTGCTCCTCTTCAAATGAGTCCTGACTTCAGTGAAAGTTCACACCGTTCAAATCATTTACATTTTACATTTATTCATTTAGCTGACGCTTTTATCCAAAGCGACTTACAATGGCTATATATGTCAGAGGTCGCACGCCTCTGCAGCAACTAGGGGTTAAGTGTCTTGCTCAGGGACACATTGGTGTCTCACAGTGGATTCGAACCCGGGTCTCTCACACCAAAGGCATGTGTCTTGTGGATAAGACACACTGCGCCATCAACCTTAGTTGCTTTGAAACCTTTAATAAAAAGGTTTTAATAATGCTTTTGATATATAGCCAAAAGCATATAGCTTAAATAAATCATCATATCCAGGGCCTGAAGTTAACTTTTTCAGCCACCGGACTTTTTACCTACCTTTTTTTTGCCTCATAAAGGTGAAATATATATATATATATATATATATATATATATGAAGAGTTCAGATGCAAAAGCCTCTAAATGCCATTTGAAATTTTCTTCTTTAATGATGATTTTTATCAAACTTGTATATTTAAGTTCAGTAATTTCACTTAAATAACAACTAATAGGTAATCTTCATTGCCATTTAAGTGAAATCACTGAACTTAAATTTACAAGTTTGATAAAAATCATCATTAAAGAAGAAAATTTTAAATGGCATTTAGAGGCTTTTGCATCTGAACTCTTAATATATATATATATATATATGCTAACTGAGTAATAGTGTTGTTGAAATTGCACATACTTTTCTTAAAAACTCTTAGGTTGTTCATAATATATTTTGTAGAAGAACAATTCATTTAATATAAAGATTTTTATAATTTACTACTTTGCACCAAAAAAAAAAAGAGGACTTTTTGTTAGTTATGTAATTTTGCTATGAGTTTACTGGTCTGGCCCCCTTGAGATCAGATTAAGCTGTATGCGGCCCCCAGACCAAAATGAGTTTGACACCCCTGCTACTGTATATACTCAGACCTACCGCAGCTCGTATGTAAATCTATGTTGATGGCTGATTTAGTCACTGTGATAGATGTGACCAGTAAAGGATAAAATAACACGGAGGTAGCAGGCTACTGCAAACGTTTAGGGGTTTATTTCCACAGGATGGGCTTACAAATAAAGTAAAGCCAATGCTAACCCAATGGTGGTAAACCAAACATACCAAAAATCAAATAACAAAAAAAAAAAAAAACATACAATAGGGTCACTGCATTTGCCTCTCAAACATTTACAGAGGTCAAGGGCTGACAGATCCTGTTCTCTCACAGAACACCAACTCACATATTAACATATTTATACCCATAGACAGTAAATACCTTGGTGGCCAGCAACAATTAACACATAAAGGGGGATACACAGACATATAATGGCCATTACACACAATAAACGAATATAAAAATACACAATATACATAAACAAACACCTCAACTAATACTATCAAATGACTTCACTTAATAAATATACTTCTTATAAACACACAAAAGAAAAGCAAGGAAAATAGTCCTTGGAGTTCCCCCGGAGAAGAAACCGGAATGGTTGTGGCCCGATCATCGGAACCATATATATACGACCAATGTTTCCACGCGAACTCCTTTAGACGGTGCGCACACGCTCACGGGATTATGGACTCAGACGTATCAAACAAACAAACAAAGAGAACGGTAGGAATAAAAACGACTAAACGTTAAAGAGTGTGCGCACTTAACTCCAAACGAAAGTTTAAATTAAGTTTACTAAACCAAAATAATGTTGTTGTGTATTCTTTACTGTGAAACAAATTCCATTAAATAAAAACTGACCTGACCCAGACTCACCAACAGCCACAGTCCCGTAGACTTTTAGTTACAGCGTTCAGGAACCGTTAACTATGAACTAAATTAATATTGTTATTACTGGTAACGTTAGAGTTATTTTCTTCCCAACTCCCAAAATTCATAGTTGCACACGCACACACATCTGTGCGACTGTCAGCGTTACATTACCTCATCCCATCTCACCAACAGTGTAATACTCGCACATCCAAACGTAGTCAGAAAAGGGCCTCATCTTCTTTCTGATCGCATGAACGTTACGAAACAACAGTCGCTGTCATAAATCAGCCGCTCATGAACCTTGCCATTGCCGCCAATTGTTGTATTAAAATGTCTTTTACTTTACTTTTTCTCATCCTCATCTTTTTGTTTGTTGTTTGTTTCAGCTGGCCTCTTTACCCCAGTAATGTGCCGCTTCATTTTAGCTAAAGTCTAACGCAATGGCGGACTTCGTTGAAATGTTAAAATCCTAACGAATCACTCAATTCTCATTGATTGACAGTGTTACCTGCCAATAGCAAAACTATTTACTATACTACTACGCTGACGTCATGTGTATATATAGTACAATAAACAAACAGCTCAGTTATTAAAGAAATTCAAATGAAAGCAGAAAATAGAAAAAAATTATTCTAAATATAAAAACCTAGTATGAATGACATCTAGAACATCTCAATGATGAATAACTATTTCACTCCACTCACATCAGTGGGTCCATTAGCGTCTTGTAAACAAGAAAATGTCTGACCTTTGACCTCAGGGAGGCCCTGAGAGAGACCATGTCCAACGACGAGTTGGGTGAGAGAGAACAGTGGACTCTGTTTGGCAATGAGGCTGAGAAACTGGAGATCGGGGTGATCAGAAACCAGCATGTTGTCCGTGAGCGTGTGGATCGATTCGCGCTGCGCCGGGAGGTGAGTGATCCACACACAGATACTGAGAGAAGAGCGTAAAAACACACCTGCATTCGCTCACTGCTTAGTTTTAAAGAAAAACTTTATCCCAATAAATTATCTGATAGATATCTGTCTATCACACTATCTATCATTCTCATATATAAATAAAATAAAATAGGAACCCTTGTGTGAGAAACAGACTGAAATGTAACCGGGTTATTATAGGATTATTTTATTTATTTATTTTTATTAACGTTAATCAAAATAAAATAGACATTTGAAATGATTAAATAAAATAAAAAAAAAACATTTCCTATTTTATTTCATCTTTTTGACAAGGCAAAAATGTAGCTCACTAAAAAAAAAATCTGAGAAAAATCTCTTGTAAATCTCTGAAATAAAAGTTGATGACAAAAACACAGCCAAGGTATTAAAACTTTAAATAAAATTAAAATATTGAGAAAATCTAAAAATAAAAACCAATTCAAAATATTAATAAAACCTGTAATAGTATTTCAGTGATACTAAAATAATGCTGTTGTTTTAAATGTAGCCTGAGTGTAAACATAAAAAATAAATGTAAGTCATTTTTTAAGCTTTGGAACGATATCAGAGTGTGTACATTGCTGAGAGCTGTATGTTATTCTTCTCTCCTCACGTTCACACACAGGCCGAGAGAAAAGCTGCAGTGCACATGAAGTTTATTGAGGATTTGAGCATGAAGGCTCCTGACTTCCCCGTCCCGCTGCGATCGCACTCGGTGTGGGCCGGCATGGATGTCAAATTCTCCTGTACGGTTCAGGGCTGCCCGATTCCCAGCGTCACATGGTGAGAGTCTCGACAAGCCTACATCTCCACACATCTCGTCCATCATACCAGCGTGTGACTCTTTTCGACAGGTATAAGGATGACGTTCCTCTGCGAGGATCCCTGCCCTGGAACTACAAGCTGATGCAGAAGTTCGGCCTCAACGTGTTGGAGATCAGAAGGTGAACTTCAAAACCTGAATATTAAACTGACTTCAATCAACATTATTTTAGTGTCATTTTATCGGAAGACTTTATAATATGGTCTCGTTTGTTTATCTACTGCTTTAACTAAATTCAACTAACAAGGATCTATATGTTTACTGCATTTATTAACCTTTCTTAATGTTAGTTATTAAAAATGTTCATGTTTATATTCACGTACATTAGCTAATGTTTACAACTTTTGATGAAATTTATTAGAAATGCTTAAAAATGTATTAATAAATGCTGAAGAAGTATTAACTAATGAAACCTTAAAGTAAACTGTTAGTTTTTATTAATATTTTGAACACATTTTTGTTGTTATATTTTTCATTTTTATTTAGTTGAAAGTTTAGTAATTTTGTTGTGTTTTTGTCATTTTAGGGTTTTTTTTGTACTGTCAAATTTTTTTTTGTACTGTCAAAATTTTGTACTGTCAAACTGTCAAATACTGTCAATTTATCACGATTAATCACATCTACATAAAAGTTTGTGTATATACTGTATGCACACACACACACGTATATATATATATTTGCAAACGTTTATGTAAGATGCGATTAATCGATTTGACAGCGCTAGTTTTATGTTTTGTTTTTGTTTTTTATAATAAAAAGCTGAAATAAAATGCGTAAGCTTTTAAAAAAGAACATACATTATTTTCGGATTTGATTTGTTACAACTTTTGTTATGTTGAAATAGCAACAAAAAAAAAGATAAAATAAGTGAGAGAAAAAATCTGTTATATTATCTGAAAGATACACATCTTCATATTATTATAAGATATTAAAAAAAATGCATACATGCTTTATGTTTAGTTGTGTTTTAGTCATGCCCATTTAGTTTTCTTTGTTTTCAGATGTTCTGCTGAAGATGCCGGAGAATACAAGGTCATAGTGAAGAGTTCCCTGGGAGAGGCGACGTCCTGCGCCAGTCTGCTAGTTAACTGTGAGTTGATGTTCATCAGGTTATTTAGGTGTTGCTTGACTTGTTCAAGGTCTACAAAGCTGCCATTTAATTGATCCCAAACTAATCGAAGCTATCACTATTGCTAGGAGACAATACATATTTATTAGTGCAGTCGTTAGTCAAGTGTATTTATATAGCGCTTTTCACAATATAGATTGCATCAAAGCAGCTTCACAGTATCAATCAAAACATAATAACAATGTTCATTTCTTAGTGGAAAAACATCCACGTTTGATAGAGCTAATCAATGGTATTACTGATTGGTTAATTCATTTGAATATCCCCAACTGAGCAAGCCAAAGGCAACAGTGGCAAGGAACCAAAAAACTCAAAGGTGACCCAATGGTGTCCTAAAACTCCATCAGTTGACCCAATGGTGTTCGAAACCCAAATTTACAACGCTTTATCTGTAGAGTGGGAAAGGGATCCTCCATAGGGAGAGGCTAGTTGGCATTTCAGCACTGCATTGGTGTTATATTAGGTGCACAATGAAGTCTGGTCATTCTCAAGAGCTGTCTAAGACCCCGTTTACACCTGGTATTAAAATGCGATCTGTATCCAGATAAGTTATCCGGATAATAAAAAACGCATGTTAATGCAAGGTGTAAACGCGTTGTGATCGGATCGTGATCGCATCTGCCTGACCACATCTGGAGGTAGTCTGGCTCGCATTGTGTCCGGATATTTACTAGGTGTAAACGCAATCTGGTTGTTGAAACCACATATGTATATTTTACTCCTCCCAAAAATGCTAAAAAATAAACGAGTGAGAGCGTGTTATATAGGCTATGTCATGTTATAGCCTAGTCAGATGCGACACGCGACACGCATCACCGCAGATGAGCAGCTGAGCGTCTATTCAACGTGCAAACATCGCAAATAAAAGTGAAAGTAAGTCACAGACGCAGTTAACACATCTTCAAGTAAAGAAACGAAATTATCTTACCAGGCCTGTTGCCACTCTCTCTTATTGATGTCTTTGATTTGGAAATTAGCTGATGATCAATAAAATGCCGCTCAGATCTGTTGCTTTTGGTGGCGTGCAATCCATTAAATCTGCATATAACGCAGGAGGTGAAGATCGGATTTATATCCGTTTTGCAAAAACACATTTATGTGGCCAGGTGTAAATGGAATCAGTACTTATTATCCGGATAACTTATCTGGATACAGATCGCATTTTAATACCAGGTGTAAACGGGGTCTAAGAGTCAGTCTAAGCTGTTGAACTCTCATTGGCGGCATTAATGAAAAGTTTGCGTTGCAGCGCCAAATATTTTTTACCCTTTATTCTTCCATTTGCAGCACACGAAGGAGCAGAAGCAAAACTGAAGCGCTTGTGGACTCCCAGTAAGTGCCTTTCCTCTTCATAATGCATAAACATGGATGCCTTTTGAAGTACTTTAAAGGGTTAGTTCACCCAAAAATGAAAATGGTGTCATTAATGACTCACCCTCAGCTTGTTCCAAGACCTCCGTTCATCTTCAGAACACAGTTTTAAGATATTTTAGATTTAGTCCAAGAGTTTTCTGTCCCTCCATCGAAAATGTATGTACGGGATACTGTCCTTGTCCATAAAGGATAAAGACACCATCAAAGTAGTCCATGTGACACAATGTTTTGAAGCATTGAAAATACATTTTGGTCCATAGGAAAAAGTTTTGAAGCATTCGAAAATACACATGTAAAATGTCAATTATTATATCATTACTCCAGTCTTCATTTTACAACATATTCAAACAGTAAACAATTCTTTTAAAGTGTAATATTATTGCTGTTTTTACTGTATTTTTGATCAAATAAAAGCAGTCTTGGGGAGACAAAATCATAAAAAATTATACGATGCATGCTTAAGAACTGTATATATTGATATATTGTACAGACCATTTTGCAAGATGTAAACAACACTGGTCCAGAAACACTTCTTTTTTCAGTTTGTAACTGTTTTCTTTATTTCACATGTAAAGAAATCATCTTAAAGATGTTTGTTTAACATTTTGATTCAGTTCATATTTTCTGTTGGTTGTATTTTATCCCAGCTTTTATGTAGTGTTAAAAAACTGAAACAGGAAGTGCTTCTGGACCAGTCTTGTTTACATCTTGCAAAATGGTCTATATTGAGATATTGAGCCTAGCAACCACCCATAATACCCCAGCATAGTGGCACTGAGTTTTGCATGGAGACACACTTTTGGGCAGCAAAAACGACTCGATTACTCCAGTCCATCCAATATAGCAACAGCAGTTTCAAACAAATCTGAATTCCCATTACAGCCCTTCTGCTGATATGAGAGAACATCACTATTCATTTGCAAGCGTCTAGAATTGTGTTGTCGAATTACAACGACACACATCACTTCCAATTCCATCTCGATTCAATTCCTAGCTAAACAAATAGCGTGTCTTCTCAAACGTTGACACATCGGCCCTCTGTGACGTCCCCTGCGCTGGGCTGTGGCATTTGTCTCATTACACTAATATTTGTCCTCGTCCTTGGGATGGTTTATGGTGCCGTTTGCCAGGAATTGAAACTCAAAAGAAAATTAAACAATTTTTCCAATGACACTTCTGTGGTTGCTCCCGCTTGTACAACATATGCCTTAATTGAGTCCCTTCTTGCATTCATTTCCACTGCCTGCCGAAGGCAAGACGAACACGAACAAAAGCTACTTACTGCCTGTCACTTCACAAATGTAATTAAAAGTGAGTGGATTGAAACATTAACGACTTGATTCCTGTAGAAACTACTCAAGCAAGACTTTTTTCTCCTTCTGAGTGAAGGTGAAGTGAACAGTGTGGGCAAAATCTAATTACACTGTGTAAGTAGTTTTATATCAAAGAAATGGAATCGTGATTTTTACTGGAAATACCAGCGCAAACTCACGACTAATTCATTTCGAGTGAGAACGATGTGACTAATTCGTAGCCTGGCTCCCGCCCTCCTACGTACTTCAGCTCAATTTTAATTTACCCTCAGTACTGCGTCTGGGTTTGTGGTGTATTTGGTTTTTTACCAGTCCAGTCAGCGAACAGAGGGAGTGGCTGAGAACGATAACGTTGATGTCGTGTGCTAGTTTGAGTCATCATACCTCACGCCCAAACCTCAGTGATTGGTTATTGTAGATCTTGAGTGACTCTGGGGCCTGGGCAGATCCAATATTTTTAAACTTCAACAAAACCTTCCTACAAAAAAGTTAACGCTTGTCATAGATATCCATAATAAAGGCTAGATGCCTTACGACGGAGTCTCTATCGTCATCACCGGCGGCCATCTTGTCACAGGCAAGCTTTCAGGCGGGCTCTCTGATGTACTGTAAGATGAGTGATCAGCACTCTTATCACTCAAACACAAATACTCTTATGTTGAAATCTTGACGGATTTACAGACGGTTTGGTTTCTTACAAACGTTATTAAAGTGGCTATAATTCTGGATGATTGGTTATTGATACACTTATTATTCATAAGTGTGCAGTGTCATAACTACATCTCTTGATGTTTATAACAAACGAAAACGGTTAAAAATCGGTAGAAAATTGAGCAAGTTATGGTTATTTAAAAGGTAACACACCATTAAAACATAATGTTATGAGAGAGCGAGCTGCCTGTGACAAGATGGCCGCCAGGTGTGGACGTCGACCTCCATTGGCTAGCAGCGCGGACGAGACATTTAGCCTTTATTATGCATTTCTATGAAATGTCCGAGAGTCTGGTGGGACCAGGCTAGCTAATTCGTACGATTTGTCTAAAAACCCAAGTGATGGGTAGGTTTAGGGGCGGGGTCAGGGTAGGTCATTCGTAGGAATTCCTACGAATGGGTACCTTGTAAAATATAGCAAACGAGTGAGGTCATATGAATTAGCCACTCGTAAAATAGGAACGAATTCCCATGAGTTCGGGTTGGAAATTTAAGGAAAAGGATCCAACGATGTATTGTAATGCAAGATACTAAATTTATCCGTAAATGCCGATTATTCAGGATAATATCTGCCGACACCGATACTAATACCGATAGTTTAATTAAGTTGGCTTGAGAAAGCCAACTTACTGAAATCCTATTTAAACTTATTATTATTCTTCTTATTTTTCTTACCCAAAATTTTCTGACTGCTACTCCTCCTAGAGCTTTAACTCTACAAACTCCAAACTCGGTCAGACCTTCAGACTGTTCTGACTCGAGTTGCTATATCTTTTTAGACTGATTCGACTTTCAGATTTCTTAAAAATTAATATTAAAAAATCATAAAAATCCCATTGACTTTCATTGCAGCATGGTCAAATTGAGCCAAGACTACGGTGGCCCAATAGCGTACAGCAAAAACTCAAATCTAAATTCCCTGAAGCCCTAGACTCAATTAAACTTACCATTCTATATGTACTAATGAACTTATCTATCTATCTATCTATCTATCTATCTATCTATCTATCTATCTATCTATCTATCTATCTATCTATCTATCTAATCTTTCTTTCTTTTCTTTCTTTTTTTCTAACTAATCATCCATCTTTCTTTCTATCAAATCTATCCATCTTTCTTTCTATCAAAATCTATCCATCTTTCTTTCTACTAACTAATCTATCCATCTTTCTTCTAACAAATCTATCCATCTTTCTTTTTAACTAATCTATCCATCTTTCTTTCTAACTAATCTATCATCTTTCTTTCTAACAAATCTATCCATCTTTCTTTTTAACTAATCTATCCATCTTTCTTTCGAACTAATCTATCCATCTTTCTTTCTAACAAATCTATCCATCTTTCTTTTTAACTAATCTATCCATCTTTCTTTCCATCAAATCTATCCATCTTTCTTTCTACCTAACTGATCTATCCATCTTTCTTTCTAACTAATCTATCCATCTTTCTTTTTAACAAATCTATCCATCTTTCTTTCTAACAAATCTATCCATCTTTCTTTCTAACTAATCTATCCATCTTTCTTTCTAACTAATCTATCCATCTTTCTTTTTAACAAATCTATCCATCTTTCTTTCTAACAAATCTATCCATCTTTCTTTCTACCTAATCTATCCATCTTTCTTTCTAACTGATCTATCCATCTTTCTTTCTAACAAATCTATCCATCTTTCTTTCTAACTGATCTATCCATCTTTCTTTCTATTAACTAATCTATCCATCTTTCTTCTAACAAATCTATCCATCTTTCTTTTTAAACTAATCTATCCATCTTTCTTTCTAACAAATCTATCCATCTTTCTTTTTAACTAATCTATCCATCTTTCTTTCTAACTAATCTATCCATCTTTCTTTCTACCTAACTAATCTATCCATCTTTCTTTCTAACTAATCTATCCATCTTTCTTTCTAACAAATCTATCCATCTTTTTTTCTAACTAATCTATCCATCTTTCTTTCTACTTAACTAATCTATCCATCTTTCTTTCTAACAAATCTATCCATCTTTCTTTCTAACTAATCTATCCATCTTTCTTTTCTAACTAATCTATCCATCTTTCTTTCTAACTAATCTATCCACCTTTCTTTCTAAATAATCTATCGTTCTTTCTTTCTACAAATCTATCGTTCTTTCTTTCTACCTAACTAATCTATCCATCTTTCTTTCTAACAATTCTTCTTTCTCTTTCTTTCTTTCTTTCTTTCTTTCTTTCTTTCTTTCTTTCTCTTTCTTTCTTTCTTTCTTTCTTTCTTTTAACTAATCTATCCATCTTTCTTTCTAACAAATCTATCCATCTTTCTTTCTAACAAATCTATCCATCTTTCTTTCTAACAAATCTATCCATCTTTCTTCCTAACAAATCTATCGTTCTTTCTTTCTACCTAAGTATCCATCCATCTTTCTTTCTAACTAATCTATGCCTCTTTTCTTTCTAACAATTCTTTCTTTCTCTTTTCTTTCTTTCCTTCTTTCTTTCTTTCTTTCTTTCTTTCAAACAATTTTTTTCTTTCTTTCTTTCTTGATGCTAATAACATGGTAATCATGCTAGCTTTATGCTTAATCATGTTAGCTTTTTGTTATAAACATGCTAGCATGATGTTAGCTACATGCTAATCATGCTAGCATGATGCTAGCTACATGTTATCATGCTAGCTTCTTGTTAAAAACATGCTAGCATGATGCTTAGCAACATGCTAATCATGTTTATTATGATGCTAGCTACATGCTAATCATGCTAGCATGATGCTAGCTACATGCTAATTATGCTAGTTCTTGCTAAAACATGTTAGCATGATGCTTAGCAACATGCTAATCATGCTAGCATGATGATAGCTACATGCTAATCACGTTAGCATGATGCTAGCTACATGCTAAATAATGCTGCTTCTTGCTAAAAACATGTTATGCATGCATGCTAGCAACATGCTAATCATGCTAGCATGATGCTGGCTACATGCTAATCATGCTAGCTTCTTGGCTAGCAACATGCTAATCAGTGTTAAACATGATGCTAGCTACATGCTATTCATGCTAGCT